CCCAAAAGACGTCAGCTGCCCTAGGCTGGAAAGTCAAGGGCTAAGTGGGTAGAGAATGGCATGAAGCCCAGAGAGCATGGGCCCTGAGAAGACAGCGGACGACATCACATTCTTGAAGAGCTCAGGGGGGAGTCCAGCAGGGCTGCAAAGCCAGGCATGCAGAGATCTGGGGAAGGAGCTGTCTGCTCTCCAGACCCATGCCTGTTCCAGATGTTGACTTTTCCTTTTAAGTTCAGCGGATCATTGGGCTCTGGACCCAAGAGAAGAAACAGACACTAGTTTCAAGTTTCAGAGCCAGACACAAGCCCCTGATGGCCTCCCCACACCACACCAGGGGCGTTTGCTTGGCCCCTCACCCCTGAAAACGTGCTCTTCACAGGGAGTGTGTAACTGGTGGTGCCGCCTGCAGAGCCACTGCCCATTCAGATGCTCTAGTGCTAGGCTGGCCTCAGCTCTGCCCTTACATCGGCTCAGGGCTGGGTAGGCTCGGCCCCTGGCTAACTGGAAAATCCTTCAAGGTTTCCATAAGTGTGCCAGGAGCTCAGGACAAAAGTGGCTTCTGACACCGGACAGAAGAGTCTGGTAACACAGCATCTTGTTAGTGAGTGTGATACAGGCTTTAGGAAGAGAAGTCACATGGCAGCTTGAAACCAACTAGAGGTAGGCCTGACACTGCTGATATATTCTGCAGGAACTTGGTGAGGCTCCTGTCACCATCCCTAAGGGAAGTGGACAACCACAGCAGGATGACGAGGGACTCCTTCCTGTCTCTGCTTTAACCCTAATGTAACGGTACATGGGCACACTCACTGTGCCGGGACGGAAAAGCCCGTCACAAATGTGCATCCTCTCATTTCAGCCTCATAATAACCCCATGGGACAGTGACTGTTAGCCCTATTTTACAGACAAAACCACAGCTCAGAGGTGTGACTGGTGTAAAGCCACAGCTAAGAAAAGACAGCTCTGACACCAAGTACCACACTCTTAACTATCAAGCTCCACTGCCTCTACCTGATTTCTACGTAACAGCACAGCACACCAAGTGTACCCCAGGGCTGGCCACAAGGGCAATGTCAGCACCCCCTACACGAGAGCCACCCAGGCCTAGGCGGGCCCTGTAGCTCGGCAGTCCTATCAGCAACACCTGCGCATCCAGGCCACCCCCCGCCCCACCCCTATGTCTCCACAGGATCCTTCTGAAGGCAGGAGGCCTGGCCCAGCCATTTCAAAATGGCCTCGTGCTGCACATCCACCCCATCACCACACCTGCCATTGTCCACGCCATGTGGGAGGGTGTAGGCCTCACAGACAGGAAAACAATCCCTCCACAGCCCCCTTCAGGTGACAGCTAGACAAGCAGGGCACTCTGGTTAACTGCTTAACAAGCATCCTCCAGGAAACATTTTCCCACACCTATTCACGGCATACGTGGCCCCGCATCATCCCCTTCTTTCTCTTTCCTGCCCCTGGACAGGAAGCTCTTTGGGGTGGGGATAGGTCTCGTTCAGGCTAACATCCCATGCTGGACACGTCACAGCTCTCAGTGAGGACCTGCTGAATGGTGGCACTTCCCTCACACACCTATGCCAGAGCACGAGGTCTGGGCCCCGTCACTGACCAGGCCCTGAGCTGCTTAAGGGCTGGTGCCCTCTTTACATATCTTCCCCTGCTCCGGGAAGCAGCTGGCTGCCACTCAGCAGGCGCATCCAGCAGAGGAGAACAGATGACAGAGCGCCTCTCCCAGCTCTCGCAGGGCTGTCCAGCACCATTTTCTTCTCCGGGTCTCAGCAGATGTGTCCTCCTCAAAGAAGCCTTCCTGAGTCGGTTCATCTCCAGGCCCCCAGTCACCCGGGTGACCCATGGCCTGTTGATGCCCTCCCTGGCACTCCTCAAACTTGGCTACCATCCGGGTTGGGTGGTACGTCCTGCCCCCATCGTTCCTGTGCTTTCATACAGAGCCCAGCGTGCTGCCTGGCACACAGTAAGTGCTCAGTAAGCATGTGGAATGAAGGGGGAACGGTCTTCAGTGAAACAAAAGCAAAGAGCAGAATAGAAAGAGAGCTGGTCCACCTTTCCTTTTCACTCAAGGACCAAACCAAAGTTCTGCCCAGGCTTCCAAACTTCCACATGCTTTCCTGTCCTCAGGGCTCCAGGCAGGTCACCTCCAGAGAGCTGTCAGTGTGGGTGTGCAGCACTGTTCGCAGGGGTGGAATAGAGCAGCAGTTTTTACTGGACATGGCCGAGCTCAGGTCCCATCCCATCACCAGGCAACAGGACACAAGTGACCACAGCAACGACCGAGAAAACAGCACTAACATCTCCCTAGGTGCCTGTCATGTGGACCAGGCACCATGCTGGGGTCTAGTATTAGGAATAGTCATGCCAGTCACTCAGCACCGAATGCAGCCAGAGAAAATAGTTCGGATTCAGCTAACCACAGCGCTGTGGAAGGCCTTGGCATAACTTAAAAATATGTATAACAGGGGTTACCATGGCTAATACCAGAGTAAGGATTTGCCAAAAAGCTACGTTTCCAACTCTAGTACTGGGCTTCCCTGACCATTCCCACTTCCCTCTGTGACCACTACCACACATCTGTGGTAGGTGCGACGGGTGTGGGTAGACAGGGTCAAGGTCTCTGGCTGCCATGAGAATGGACCAGCTGACCGTGACCTCATGAGCACTGTGCTCAGTGTCAGAGCCAACCAGGCACAGACAAGGAAGGCCTACAAGTTTGCTTTGTGGCACAGACACTTGCTGCTTCAGATATGATGGAGCAACAGCATCCCCTGTCCTGCACCCTGTGAATAAAAGAGAGAAATCTTTACAGAAGAAATGAAACTGACGCTGTACTTGACCTAATGACAGTGTCTATGGAAACTCCAGTGATAGGGGCACTGTGTCATTTGGGAGCCAGGAAACACTGGCTGGTTGGGTTTACATATCGTATCAGCCTTCCCAATACGGTCAAAGCCCTTTGGTCTCCCAGCAGCCTGAAGTTGGTGGAATGGGACTCTTGTGTCCATTTGAGTTGTAAGGAAAGTGGGGTCCAGAGAGGTTAAGTGACTCACTCTGGATCACATAGAATGTAAACTGCCAAGCCAGAACTAGACAATGTCCTCTGATTTGATTTCTATCTAGTGACTTCTCCCCTGGTCTCCCTGGATGACTGCCATAGTGTGTCACATAAATTCTGGGCCTCTGTTTCTTTATCTGTACAGTGAGAAGGATCAGGCCTAGCTCATGCTACCAGGCATGCCACCTGTTTAGAGTCTCTGACAAGCAGAGATCAAAAGTCCCAGAATATGTGCAAACACCTCACAACTATAACACACCAGTTATGACTGCATTTTTCATGGGGGAGCCTTTGGCCTTTCCTAATTGAGAGACTCAGGAGAGTAATAAGTGACCTAGCTCTTCCGCTGCCTCACTGTAAACTTTGGAAGAGGCACCTTGCCTTGCTAAGAATCAAGGGTGCCCCTCCTGCCACCTACGCTGATGGTGTACAGAGCAGTAAGTGGTAAAAGTGTGATGACAGGACAGCAGGATGTGGGACCCCCCCAGTCCTCACTGGTTATATGCAACCCAGGAAAGTCCTTTCATGCTTTGAGGCTGGTTTTCTCATCACTAAAAGTGGGGGTGGTATCTCTGTCCTGCTGGCCCCTCAAAATTTCTATGGAGCCCCCAATGAGACCAATAGAATTTTATCTGTGAAAAGGCCCAAGGACTCCCTAGAAAGATGGCTGATTCCAAGATGGGGGCAGGGAAGGTCTAGGGTGAAGCCCAGATATCTCACGATGTCGGAAAGCAAGGAAATGTACAGAAATGAAGGGAGATGTGGCAAAAGGGCACCAGAACCAGCTTGAGGGTCAAATTTGAGACAATTTGAGCATCATAATGAGTAATGACATGATAGTACATAATCCACTAAATTAAAAACAAAATCAGTGAACCAACATTGACAGTATAGAAAATAAAAAGGACAGAAGTAAAGCTCTTCTTTACAGAAGAATGCCAATTAATAAACGCAGTAGAAATGACAGAAATAGAAAATTGGGCCCTGGCTGGTGTGGCTCAGTGGATGAGCACCAGCCTGTGAACCGAAAGGCCTCTGGTTCGATGCCTGGTCAGGGCACACAACTGGGTTCCAGGCCAGGTCCCCAGTGGGGGGCGTGTGACAGGCAACTGATAGATATACATCATGCGCATCAACATTTCTCTCCCTCTCTTTCTCCCTCCTTTCCCTTCTCTCTAAAAATAAATAAAATCTTTAAAAGAAATTCACCATTTTCCAAACACCGTAGAAGATCAGCAGAGAACACTAAAGCTGTCAGGTAAAAGCCTTTGACTCGGAATGGGCAGAGACTTACAGACACCACCGTAATCAAACAACCAAACTGAACATCACCAGTGACAGCACAGAATCCCCTCAGGTGCCTGCTGACCAGGGAGGGACTCAACATCACTTACACAATCGCTACTACAGCGTCTAACCCGAATCCAAGCGTAAGACCAACCAGACTGAACTCTGCAAAAGGAGCTGGACTCCTCAAAACGGACCATGTCAAAAAAGAAAGGGAAAAAGTTCATGCCATGAAAAAATTTTTAAAAAGCTGAGGAACTATTTAAGATTATATGAGACTTGAGAAACCAGAGAGCCAAACGCAATAATGCAAGGTGTAACCATGTGAAAGGGATCTTGGACTGGGAAAGAAAGCCAAATAAACCTACAAAGGACATTATTAGGACAAGTGAGGGAATTTCAAAATAAACCATCTAATATGTAACAGCCAAAAATAAACGTGTGTGTGTATGTGCATACCTGCCCACCCACGGGGTGGGGTGACAAAGTGTTAACTGGTGGAACTAGATGAAAGTGGTCACTGTGCTATTCTTGTAACTTTTCCATAGGTTTGAAGTTTCAAAAGAAAAGAAACCAGAAAGGCCCTTGAAAAGCTGTCAGAACTGCCAGCAGTGTCCCAGTTGACTTGGCACTCACCTGTCAGGTACTCCAGGACGGCGGCCATGTACACGGGCGCCCCCACTCCAATCCTGTACTTGGGGTGCCCTTTCTTGATGTACCGCAGCATCCGCCCCACAGGGAAGATGACTCCTGCCTTGGCGGACCGGGAGGTTTTGGTAGACTTCTTCTTCCCGCCCCGGCTCGACATGGCGGTGGCCCTGGAGCTGGATCAGTCAGCACACTGAGGAGGGAGGAAGCACACTATCAGGATCACTGGGTCGGCGCCATCCACCCTTCCCCCAGAAGAAACAGGTGCTGCCCACAGATGCCACTGCCTGCAGCCACTGAGCCCGCTGAGCCCAGCTGACGATCTCCACCGAAGTACGGAGGCCCCTGAAGACAGAAAGGGGCCTCCCTTTTCACATTTTATATCACGACATCAATTTTATCAGCCACTTCCATTTAAAGGTTACTCTGACAGTGGCCTTTATGCCGTATGACGTAAAAGAAAATGGGATTTCTTGGCTACATTCCATGCACTTGTTTAATAATTGCATTTTCATACACTGAGACCAGGGCTGGTAAATTTGCTGAAATCTACATAAAAGAAAAGAAAACTATGTTGCTTGCCCCTAGAATGAAGCTTTACAGCCAGATACCTAAGTTCTTCGACAAAGGCAGTGTCCAATCCTTCATCTGCAAGAGGCAGGAAAAGCTCACAGGACCTCAGTGAGTAACCAGGTTGGAATGAGAGGCCCTCGGGACACTTCCAGTCTGCCGGACAGGCCTGCCCTGAAAGAAGTATTTTTCCTTCCCTGCTCCTCCGCCCAGTCCCCATCCAAAATGTCACTCAGTCCAAAAGATGCCCCTGTTCAACACCTCTGAGGGGTCCTCTCCTCTCCACCCCAGCTGTGACTGACCTGGTCATCACTATCTAAACTAAATGATCAAAAAGGTCTCCCACCCCGGCCCCCCTTTCCTCCACTCCACCTGCCCTCCACCAGCAGGGTTACCTGTGTACACACAAATCTGAACACGCTGTGGCCTTAAAATGTCCCTGGCTGCCACCATGCCCAAGACAAAACCAGGGCCCTTGGCTTGTCATGCAGAACCCTAGAAATCTAGGCCTGGCACACCTGTCCAGCTTTACCTTGTACTCCTTGTGGTTGCACGTGGTCCCCCAAATGCCCTGCTCGGTGGTGGCTGTGCTTCTACTAGGACCTCCTCCAACCCTCGTGCCTGCTTTCTGCCCTCTACCAACCCGCCCCTGAGTGCTTGATCCAGACGCTCTGTCCTCTGGGGTCCCATGTGCTTCACACAACAGCCTAAGTGGCACATGCCCCCCACCCCTGTCCCTCCCATGAGATTGCAAGTTCTCGAGTCTTCCCTTGGTGGTACTCTCAGTGTAGCACCACACAGTTAAGGTCTCAAACATTTGCTGAAAGCATTCCAGTCACTTCGCATTTGCTTCAGGGACCATGCTGGGGCATGGAGGCAGCGGTGCACAGGGCAGTGTGGTCCCTGTTCTTACAGAGCAGGGTGGGGAAGAGAGACAGAGAGTCCCGAAGTCATTTAAGTGGTAATGGTGGAAGGCCAGTGCAGGGTGCTGGGAGAGGGGCTTCGAAGAGCCCTCTGCCCACTCTTGGGCACCAGGTAAGCCTTCCCGAGAGGGCAATTATGCCCTGACCACCAAACCAAACGGGCAGGTGTCCCATTTACTGCTAAACCAAGGTCAGGCTCCGTGATGTGTGGACTCCTCCAGCTCCAACAGTCCACACCTCTGACCGTGGAGGCCACTGACTTGTAAGTCCTTCTTACTCCGATGCCCGACCCTATACTAGAGATGTGCCGTGGGCCATAACTAACATCAGTGTCACCAACCCCCAATCACCTCAAACTGGCTGCTGGGCAGAAGGGGCCAAAACAGCAGAAAGCAGCATGCCTGGGCACTGTGGGGCAGCCATGCTGACAGGCACAGCAGAATTAAAGGGCTCAAGCCCTGGCCCTTGCAGGTGCTGGAGATAGCTAAGCAGCCCCTGGGAGGAGAACCCTGTATTTAACCCTATATTTCACCCTGCCGAGAGGCACCAAGTCTTAACTGGTCACTGGGCACTCAAGAGACCTGGAAGGGTCTGAATTTTTCTAAAACAGTTAGTTGGCTTCATTTTAAAACATCCCCTGCAAACAGAAGCCTGTGCTCACTCTGTGCAGGAATAGGCATGTGAACACACACATGTTCACAGGGGAAGCTGCCACTGGGTTTCCTGGGTCTTTTGCGTTACCCCAAACGTGTTTTGCAGATCGACCCTACACTTGGGACTGAGAGCTTTTCAGATCTGAATGTTTCCCCTCTTTCAGCAGAAGCTTGTGGTCAGTGGAGATTAGTGCAGCTTGGCCTTGTTCTTACTGAAGCACAGACTTCAGCTGTCTGCGTATGTACGGGGCTGCCCCTGTGGAAATCAGACAGTGTCCTGCCCCAGAGAGGAGCCACCGGCACTCAGGAACCTGATGGGTCCTAAACACACTTACTCCCTAAAAGTGATGCTCCTGGTGATCCCCTCTGACTGTAGCCAAGAGTCTTTACATCGTCCACATGCTGGTGACGCCCAGGTCTCCAGCCCAGTGCGTATCTGGCTACTGAGCCCCAGGGCTCTGTTCTGATTACCTGAGGCAAGGGCCCACTTGGAAGTCCCCTGGGCGCCCTGAACTCCCCTTGGCTTCTCAGCCCCATCAGTGGCAACATCATGCATCGAGCTACCAAGCAAGAGTCAGCCTGGCCCCTACTTTTCTGCCACAGCACCCAATCATTAGCCAAGCTCTGCTGAACCCACCCCCGTAATTTCTCCAGCCTCTTCCCTTCTCCTCACACCACCCGCACCTTGGTTCGGCTCTACTTCTTACCTCCTTCCCCAGCACCAGTCTCTTCCCATGGATGCTGGAGAGCCTGTGCCTGCTTTGCTAGTGCCCCATCACCCTGAACTGACCACAAACAGCACCCTTCAACTACTTCCGCAGCCCTGTTTCCTGTCACCGGCCTGGGATCAGGTGCCCCAGCCTCCCCAGCCACCCCAAGCTTCCTGACCTGTGATGCTGTGCCCAGTTTCAGAGAGAGGAGAAGGGAGGGAAAAACAATGTGTGAGAGAAATATCTACTGGTTCCCTCTTGTTCGTACCCAATTGGGGACCTGCCTAGCAACCCAGGCATGTGCCCTGACAGGGAATCGAACCGGCGACCTTTGGGCTCACAGCCTGGCGCTCAATCCAGAGCCACACCAGCCAGGGCCAGAATGTCTTTATACATGCTGTTTCTCCTGCCTATCACACCCTTGGTCCTCCTGCCAACCTGAACTGTGCTCATAAGCCCTCTCCTTGAACCTGACCGGGGACAGGAACTGCTTCTGCTCCGTGTTCCCACAGCACATACCCTGGCATGTATCGGGGGGCCTCTCCCCCCAACTTGACTGAACTGAAAGTGACGTGAGGCCAGGCAGTTGTTGACTCACGTCTGGCTCCCTGGGTCTCAGGAAAGATCTGAAACGTCACGGGCCTTCAAGTGTCACCTGCTGAATGAAGACCATCTTCCTGTCTCACTGTGAGTCCAGCTCCTCTCTGAGAAAGCAGTCCTGAGTCTTCATCCCTTCCCCAAAGGGGCTATCTTGCAGAGATGCTGTTGTTCGCCCCTCCCCATGTTCTTTCTGCACTTCTAACTATAGATCCCCAAGCTGCAGCCACAGCTGTCAGGATTCTGACTAAGCCATGCAGCCTCATGACATCCAATGATGTGTGGTGATTTTAAAAACATTATTGGGACAATCACCTTGTAGCTTGTGGCCTCCAGATAAACTCACAATGTGCAGGCCCATCCTGTTCTTCAGATGGCCACGGAGAGCTAAGGGCAACTGCGGCCAGGCACCAACTGGGGATAGCGGCTGTGACAGAGTGGCTGTTGAGCACTGTGTTAATAACTCAAATTCCAAAGCCAGACTGACCTGATTCAAGTCATGGCTCTGCCACTTACAGCCCATGTGTCCTTGGACATGTGATATAACACCTCTGAGCCCAATTTCTCATCAGTCAAATGGATACTATGATAGAATAGACCTCTAAGAGTTGAATAAGAGCATGCATATAGGAATATAAGAGAACTGAATGAAAGTATGCATATAAGGGCCTGACACTCACCTACTCAGGGAGTGCTTGGTAAGGTTAATAAAAATGATGACAAAATGTTTAGGATGCAGATCTGTCTTCCTGAAGAACTGGCGTTGGATGTTTGTATTCATGAGGGTAGCACTAGCTGCTATAACAAATAAGCCCTTATAGCTTAGTCCTCACTCATGAAAAGTCCAAAATGGGTTTCCACGACTGGCCAGTGCTTCTCCACAGTATGACTGCTGGACCCAGACTCCCATCCTCCCATGAATGATTCTCAGGCTTACCATGGAAGAAAACACATGGAGGTTTTCAGGGCCCAGATCTGGAAGTGACGCTGTTGACCACGATCCATCAGCTAGAACTTGGTCATGTGGCCACAGCTAATTACAAGAGAAGTTGAGAAATGTCCCTTACCTATTTTCTCAGAAGGAAAGAGGAAACAGCCAGCCCCTGTCACATGACAAACCAACTGGAAAGCTGACCCTAAAGCCAGGTCTGGAAGATCAGCAGAAGCCTGCTTGGCCCTGTCCGACCCATGTCCTGTACCGAGCCTCTTCTGAGAGACGGACAGGTCTACATCATAGAAAAAGTGGCTTCTGATGCACTCGACTTCTCTTCAGGGCACAGATATTGCTCACAAGAGAAACAGCAATGCTCTCGTCAGGCAGACAAAGCTGTGTCCTTCCTCCCTGGAATCATGGCCCAGAGCAGACCCTGCTCAGTAAACTAGAAGCCCTCACCCCTGCAGAGGGCCCCCCAAGCCTTGAAGGCAGTGATAGGTATTCAGGCAACCTCAACATCGTTCATCACATTATGTTTACATACATTATCCTGGCTGCCTTTCTGACTGTTATCAGGTCAGGAAATGAAGATTCTGTGGTTGGTCCTAAAGGGATCTCTGTGTCTTCACCTTTGCAACTCTTCCAACTATAAATCAGTCCAACAGACAGGAGCCTTATTAGCAGAAACCCAAAGCTTTCCCAGAGACTCTTCTGGGAGGGGCTACAGAGATGAGCCAGGCTTGAGTGAGACGCAAGTCTCCAACCACAGGCCTCTCAACCAATAAGACGTGACCTAGACAACATCATCTATCCTCATAGCTCAGGACTAATTAGAAGTCTGGCAGTGAGGAGCCCATGAATAAGATGGACATGAAAACTGCAAGCCCTCGACTACTAGGAGGGGCCATAGAGGTGAGGAGGACCAAGGACCATCCTACCTACCTACCTACCACACCACTCCACTCCTCACCAACAGGGTACCCTATTAGGCTCCTCACTGCACTGCAAACCACCTTTGTTCCTACCTCCAGTCTTTGGCACACGCCACTAGCTCTGTCTGGAACACCCTCACCAGCCTCCTGCCTGGAACAATCCTACCTAGTGGTCCCAGCACCTCTGCTAATGCAGACCTAACGAAGAGCTCTTTCCTCTGCATTCCTGCTATGTGGGCCCCTAGTCACAGTCTAGTTTAGGGCAGCCCATACCCAGCTGCAGCCTTGCATCAAGGCCCTGCAACCCTCCAGCCCCTCTCTATTTCCAGCAACCAGGGCTCCATGCCTTGCACCCAGCAATCCACCAGGCTGAACTGCTCCATTTCCTCACTGGACATTCCTACTGTGGCCCCCAAGTCCAGCTAAAAATCCCTTATGATGTCCCCTAGGTCTACCACCATTCTTTAATGTGTCCAATTGATTTTCTCCATCTTTTTTTGTAAAGTGTTCTGCAAATGCAGATTCCAGGCCTTCCTTCCAACCTAACTGCCCCTCTAGACCCAGTTTATAGAAACATTCTAACACCAACTACCCCACCCTTAACACTTGTTGCCCTGTATCATCACTGTCTATTTCCTTGTCTTTGCTGTTTTGTTGCTGCTGTTGTTGTTGAAATACCCCTTGTGTGTAACAGTTTTTTTTGGCTTGAGTCTCATATTCCTTATCTGTCTTGAGGGGATGGTCCACTCTGCTCTGCTCACCACTGCATCTTGTCTGTGACCTGGGAGGCTCTCAAATGCTGGCTAGATGGAGACTGATTAGTGGACATTTATTGTGGGTGGGCTCCTCTTGACAAAGATGAGGGGAACATTTCCAAAGGCCATAGGACTCAGAGATATGGAAGTGGGACAGCAGCTGGAGACCTTCTCTGGGATCAGTCAGGTACACGCACCTGGCTTATCCCTGTGGGAGCCCAGACCCTCAAAATTCAGGGACCTTGTGGAGCCACTCTGGGGATTCCCAAAAAGCAACGTTACAATTGTTCTGCTCCCTGAGGTGGGAGCCTGGCAGAGGCCTTCCAGCTCCCTGACAATTCTACGGCTCCAGTAACCTCTCCCCTTGCCACTAGACAGGCTCAGTAACACAGAGCAGAGGAAAATACTTACCTTCCTCACACCTGTAAGAGACCAGTCTCTGCTAAGATGCAGCACACACACAAAAAAACCCTCTTAAATAAACAGGGCACTCGCAAACCCACTGGAATGGTCAATCATGAAGTCTTTTATTATCTAAGCAATGTATGCCTGCATACTGATGAAGAACAAGCATCGACGAGAACTGCCGGGGGCTGCTAGACAGGCGCCCCTATCCCCAGCGCCCAAGGAGGAAGGCAGTGGAGCTCTCAGTGTTTGCTGAGGGAAGATTCCCCCACCCTTTCCCTATAGCTGGATAAATGCCCACATGTCACAGGCATTTGTCACCTTCCCATCAACTCCAATCACGAAGGCCAACCTGAGACACTTAATTCTTAAGCGAAGGACATTAATCCTATTTACAGCATTCTCTTCCGTTTACTCCCATCACACCAAATGATTAACGGTGTCTCTGCTGTCATGTCCCCAGAGGCATGTGGATAAACTACACAACTATCACTCACAGAGCTGGGGTTCTCAAGCTACACTCTGATTGGCTTGGAACAGAGAATTGCTCTGCTACTCTAGCCAATCAGAAAAAAAAATCTCTCTTCATTCATAAAACACTACATCATAAAGTGAGCTGGATGATTAAAGAATTTACAGTCTGCCCTGGGGGAACCAAGGGACTGAAAACAGGGAGTGAAGGATAAATTGAGATAGTAAATAAATTCTAAACCACACATTTTGTTCCAGCAGATGTATCTCCCTCACGTGTTAGATTTTTAGTGGCGGGAAGAAACAAAACCCAAACACCAGTGCTATTCACAAGCAGGAAACAGTTTGCAGAAAGCTTGTCTGGGATTAAGATTTCACCTCTGCAAACGCCCCCTCTGGTATGCTTCCCTCGCTGCACTAAAGGAACCACCGCTATACAGGGTGGGGCAAAGTGGGTCTATAGTTGTTTGTATAGAAAATAACACAGTTAATAAATAATAATACAAAAATAAACTGCCTTGCATACTCACCACTGCAAACCTACTTTGGCCTCACCCTGTATTTCAGGAGGAAGGCACTGTCAGCTAACCTCACCAGGAAACTTTCCTTCATACCCCCTGTCCCTTTTAAAGGCTGGGCCAAACTAAGATGACCATTCCAATGGAAGACCATCAAAGATCAAGTTAAACTGTGACTTTCAATAGGACAGGACCCTGGCTGGACTTGGCATCTAGCAGCCATTCACTGTTGGTGGAACAGAGGAAGCGCTCCCAGTGAGAACAAAGAACTGGTCGAGTCTCTCTGCTGTCAGGATGAAGTCTGAACCCCTCAGCATCTCTGACCAGGATCCTCTCCAATCTGGCCCTCTCATGTCACCTGACTCTCCCCTTGGACGGAGCCACCCTGAGCCTCTGGCCACTCCCCCACATGACCTCTTTTCTCATTGTTTGGGGACTCTGCACATGTGGTTCCTCAGGCTTCAAACACTTATCCTGGACTGCCCTCCTTTGCCCAGCCAGTTCTTTCTTGGCCCTTCGTGCCTGGTAAGGGCTTGCTCCTGGTTAGGTTGTCATTCTGGGGCCGCTGGGGGAGCAACTGCAGCCTCCTGCACTCGCCTTGCAGTGGCTACCTACTTGTCTTTTCAGCATGTCAGCTTCCCAAGGAAAAGGACTGGGCATTTCTTCATCACGGTACTGTCCCCAGTGCCTGACCCAGAGTTAATTCTTAATGAGTACTTATTGGAAGACATTGGTCTTGGCAGGCTCGATCCAAGCAAGCAACCCATACAACTCTGGTATGAAGAGCTGACCCACTCTGACTCACTCAGAAGAGCTGAGGTGGGACCTAACATACTTCTAAAGTTGCAGAAAGTGGGGAGAACCCACAGGACCAGTACACACCCCACTTACCCCTGCCCCTTCCCAGCCCACGTGCCAAGAACAGAACTCTGAAAAACTCAATGCAAATCCAAAGGCACAGTCCAAGGACCACAGGCTGCTACAACTGTGACAAACGCCACAGATTCCTGGGTTTTGTCAGCTTAGGGTGTTCGGTGTGTTCATCATTTACATCAATCTCCTAAAAATGACTTGGGCAGCATTAGCTCTATAAGTATAGAGGCAGGTCTCAGAACAGATGTATTCCAAGCCTCTCTCCAGGGAAGTAATGAGGGTTCTCCCTGAGTCCTGCGTCTCCAGGACCAGAGATGCATGTGCCTGGCCTATTTCATACAGACTGAGCCAGTGAGTAGGGTCGTACTAGTGCTGTTCTAGACGACTCTCAACCTTTTGTAAAACGTGGGCTATCCCTTCCCCATTCTCAAGGCCCTGCCTCCAGCAATGTTCACTTAAACTCCTCCCTCTTCCTTGATACCTTTACCCCCATTACAAAGGGAACAGAGTAAAATAATATAACAAACTGAGAGATTACCCAGGCTCCTCCTAAAACATTTCTGAGGAAAACTTTAAAGTCTTGAGGGTTTTTTTAAAAGAAAAATATAGGCTTATAAACGAATCTGTATCAGACAGCTTCTTGTGCAAGACTGAGATGCCACCGCCCAGCTTTGGAGAGTGGTGTACAAGGGGTATTAATCCCAGTTACAGGCATGAGGTGTCCATTTCAGAGCTAATAACTCCTCTGACAGCACTCAGTGCCCCAAAGGTGGCTGGCAGTGGGTGGATTCCACCAAATTTACAACTGGAACCTCCCAATCAAATCCAAAGCTGTTCGAAATTCCCCCTAGGCCCTGGAGCAGGAAGGCTTGGAACAAAGCACTACTCCCACCCCTAACGGTAAAACCTCAAACCACAAAGGTGGAAGAAAAAGAGAAGCTAGCAGGAGTGCCCCTCTAACTGTCTATTCTTATAGGCTGTTTATAAAATCATTAAAATTTTACATGGACTTCATGATCGTTGTAATGATTGAATTCAGTTTTGTCTCAGTTGTTTCTACAGAAGCCTCTCACTTTCAGGAATATTTCCCTCAACAGCTTATCTAAAACAACCTTCCAGCAATCTACTAACAAGATCCGTGAGTGATCCATGGTCCCCCTGCAGGAGTGAAGGTGGGGCGCACCGTCCACACACCTGTTATCAGATGACCCTTCCGGCAGCATCCTGCGCACTCACCTGGCCACGCCACCCCCCAGCGAGTCTCTTTTCCTCCTGGCCTTCTCCACCCAGGGAGCCTGCAGCCTTCCGGAGTTACCTTTAAAAAACTCCCAACCAAGAAGCAAACAAAAGGCCCATCAGAAGCCCAGCGAGAGCAGCGGGGGTCCCCTGGCCTCTCCCCGGCCCGCCTCTGGACAACCCCTTCCCCGCCTGGTCTGGCTCCAGTCCTGCGAGTGTCCTCCGATCAACCCCCACCCCCCACCCTGCCCTCCCCGCAGACCCAGCCAGGAGCCTACACAGCGGCCACCGGGATCTCGGGCCTGACTTATTGTGCCCAGGCTGGCAACTCGCTGGCGGGTGGGGCCTCACCGAGTCCAACTCCGCGCACAACAGCTCCTAGGCGCCCAGGCCCAGGCCCAGCAGCCAGTGCCGCGGGGCCTCCTGCCGCTGCAGGCCGAGCCGTCTGCCCGACCACCGAGGGAAGGGTCGCCGCGAAAGGGGCCCCAACTGTCTCCTTCCCACAAAAGCGCCCGGGTGCAGGCAGGAGGTTGCGTCCGTGAGAAGTTGGCTTCCGGGTTTGCTTTCTGAACAAAACCAATGGGAATCCCACGCGGCCCCAGCGTGGCCTGGGAAGGCGCGGAGAGCGCGAGGCCCCGGCGTGAGCCGCGCCGAGCCCGGGGCCCGAGCCCGGCCAGCGCCCCTGGGGCGCACCCGGCCCGGTCGCTCCCCGGCACCCGCGGCCGGAGAAGCGCGGCGGCCGGATCCCGGCGGCCGGGACGGGACGCGCGGAGAGGGGCCCGCGCGGCACTTACGGGCGGCTCGGCGGCGGCGGCAGCAGCGAGGTGTTCGGCCTGTGCCCCCTGGACCGCTCGCGCCTTTTCTCTTCGCGCTCCGCGCTGGCCCGCGCCGCCCGCCTCCTCGCTTCCCGCCCGCACGCCCCGCGCTCGCCCCCTCCGCCCGGCTCCTCCGCCGAGTGAACTGGAACCAGTAGCCGCGGCCCCGGGATTCCCACAATGCACAGCGCGCCGCTCGTCACATCCCATCCCGTCCCCGCGCGTCCGGCCACCCCGCCCACGCCGCCCGGGCCCTGACCCCATCCCCAACCGCCGCGCGCGCGGGCACTGTCCTCGCCCTGTCTCCTGGACGTCGGTCAGTTTGGCCCCAGCTGCTCTGCGGCCTTGGTGTCCGGCCCTCTGCCCTCAGGCACCCCAGCGTGACTCCGGACGCGCAGGACGCAGGATCCGCCGAACAGAGGTGCCCAGGCAGAGCTGCTCTTCCAGCGCGCATCCCAGCCTGTGTGCCTCGAGTGGCACTTATTGAGCCTTTTATTAACCCAGGGAGGGAGGCACAATGACTGGTATCACTTTCCCCCTCTCCATGCAAACCTCCCGCGCACCTCAGAGCCACCTCTCCCCGACCCCCCGCGCCCCCCGCTGTCTTTAGATAAAAGCCCCCAGCAAACCTTTTCTGTCCTGCCACCAATTACTGCACATCCAGCTGCCATGGGGTTGGCTCTTCATCATGACCCCAGAAGTCTAGACCTGCTTTGTGCACGGAAGCCGTTAGCTACTTCGATTGAGCCAACGTTCACCATTGAACCAGTTGGGATTCATTAATGTAAAAAGATATTATCACCAAAGACGTGTTTTAAAACTGCAGACTAGCAAAAAGAGGAGGGGCCTCTGTACAGCCCACCTGTGAATCCCTAAATTAGGTTTCTCTTCCCAAGGTGTTAGTGCCCCATCGCGGGGTACTTAAATAGGGCCCTCCCTCCACCCCCCCCCCCCTCCACCTGCCAAAGTGTGGAGGGGGAAGCCACCTGAGCACCTAGCTGTGGACCAAATTTGGATAACAATACACGCACAACAGAGTTGACACACGGTTTAAGGTGCCGCTGCCCCTCCCAGCCCTCAGGCTTCCTCTTAGAGCAGCGGTGCTAACCTCGTCCCTTCACCGTGGTGTTTTACTCTGGCCTTTGCAAAGCAGTGTACAATTCACACCTCTCATGCATTTGTTGTTTCAATTGAGTACTGAAGTCATATTTTGAGCTATGCATCAATTTGAGTAATTAAGATAAAAGCAGTGAACAGAACAGACAAAAATTCCCTGCCCTCTTGCAGGTTGCAGTCTAGGAGGGAAAGAAACACAATCAACAAAAGAAATGATGTGGTAGATAGTATTAATGCTGTGGAGAAAAAGAAGGCAGGGAAGGAAGGCACGGAGTGTGAAGTGGGATGGAGTTTCAAATGTTAGAGGAGACCTCCCTGAGGAGGTGACATTTAAACAAAGACTTGAAGGAGCTGAGGGAGCAAGCCATGCGGATATCTGGGGGAGGAGTATTCCAAGCAAGAGGAGCAACAGCAAGTGCAAAGATCCTGAGGCAGATGTGTCTCTGAAATTCTCAATAAATAGTGAGTGTGTTCCTACCACACACAAACATACAGGAATGATAACTCTGTGATATGGTACCATTACACTAAAGCTAAAGTGATCATCATATTGCAATATATAAATGTATCAAGTCAACACATTGTACACCTTAAACTTCTTTGTTACATGTCAGTAATATTTTTTTAGTGAAACGAGTAAAGAAGAGTTGTAGGAGATGAAACTGAAGAAATGATTCTTTGTGTCCCAAAATAAAGCATTAAGGATATGTGAGGACCCCCACCACTGCACTGCCCACCGAAGCTGCAGAGGAATGTCAGGGAAGGTGCAGGGACTGCCTGCCTTGTTGCTCTGTCCTTCTCTGGGTCCTCACACAGGCCCCTTGGGTCTGTAGGGGCCAGCCACAGTGGGAGGTTTCCGTGGAGTGCAGCAAGTCAGGAGGATGCCAGACTTCATTTATTTATTCAGCTGACACTTGCTGAACACCTAGTGTGGGCCAGGCCCCGGCCAGTCTCCTTCCCAGGGAGAGCAACGTTCTAGGTGTGTTTCCAGGCCAGGCCTGTAGGGCAAGAGGGAGATGCCTGCAGCCTGCTGGTTCCCTGGTGGTGGACAGACCTGAGGCTTCTCCTCCAGGTCCTCAGTGATGGCCTAGGCCAGAACCAGAGGATGATCGTCTATCTGCATTGCAAGGGAGCCAAGAAGCAACTCACTCACCTCCACCCCAGCATTAGTTTCTGATGCAGTTGATTTCCCTGGTGACCTGGAAGTGGGTAATGTTCAATAGACCAACTTTGCTCTCCATCTTACTGCACACTCACCACCATGCCAGGTCACATACATCCCAACACTGCACCTTCACAATGGCCTCAGCAGGCACAGGCTATTTCTGAGACATTTCCATCCTCATTTCACAGACAAAGACACTACAGATTCAGGAAGCCAAGAAATATGCTTGAGATCACAGAGAGGGCAGGCTGGCGCTGGGGTTCACACCCAGCTCCTCTAGGTCCTAGGTCAGGACTAAAGACAGTCCTCCCAGGAGCTCGGCTCCTCTGCACCCAGCACCCACCCTCCCCGCACTCCCCAGTTCAGAGTGGGTCTAATTGTGCCCACTCAGTCATGCATCACTGTCCTCCAAGAGCCAATCTTGGTTGGCCCCACCCCCTCATCCCTCCTCAGTGTGTAGTTCTCATAGAACTCACCAGGAATGTTGTCCCCTGGAGCTGGTCAGTGCAGAGACCCTGTGTCCACATCTCTCCAGAAGGCTCCCTCCTCCCATCCCCAACCCCTACCTCTCACCACCCCTGGGCCTTAGGTGTTTTTGCCCTCATGGGCCCCATCCTCTGTTAAAAACAAACAAAGAAACAACAACAACAACCAAAAAAAAACCCTCCATTGATACAAAGACAAATATGTTAACATGCTACATTAAAATCGTGCTCCACGGAAAATTCAGCCCTGCCCACACACAAGTCTGAGCAACGCTAGTGCATCTGTCAGGCCCACTTCCCTCCTCCACCAGGGACAGTGCCGAGACCCACATGACTTTATGGGCTCACAAAGCCATTTTAACTTCTCAAATCAGAACAAAAAATGAAGGTTAATTCTTTTTAGATAAAACATATATTTTAATTTAATTAATAAAGTTGTCTTTATATCAACACAGTCATAAAATGTAAGTTTTTTAATATCACTTTTTAAAAATTCTCATCTGAGGATAAGTTTCTTTGATTTTACGGAGAGAAAGGAAGAGTGAGAGAGGGAGAGAGAGGGGTGTGGGGAGAGAGAGACAGGGAAACACTGATTGGCTGCCTCCCACACACACCCCAACCAGGGATCGCACTCGCAATAGGTACGTACCCTGACTGGGAATCGAACCCACAGTCTTCTGGTGTACAGAACAGTGCTCCAACCAACTGAGCCACCTGGCCAGGGCTAAAATGTAATTTTTATATCTTGTTAGAGAGGAAGGGTCCACAAAGGCAAAAGTGTCTAGAGCCCATGAAAATGTTAATGTTGCCTTGTTGGTTCAAGTAAAAATGTGTGAAAGGCAGAACCTTTAGCCCACTAGCAATGACAACAAATGCTTTTCCTCAAGGCTGCCATCCTAGTCTGTTACCTAAGGGAAGCATTTTGTGCATGCTTCCCACGTGGTCACAGAGAATATTTAAAAATGTGTCCTGAGGGGTCAAGACTTCATAAAGTTAACACTTGCTACTGCTTCATCAAAGACATTCTTAAGTGAAAATGTTGGGATTTTTTTTTCTGCAAGTTCGTGGCAGTAAAGAATAAAATGATCATTAGTTAAGTTTGGTGCCAGTGCTGATCTGCGTCAATTCACCAGCAGTTTTGCCCACTTTTGTTTTTTCATCATTGGTGCAAAGATCAAGACAGTGAAAAAGCTAAGTAACGTCTTAGCATTTTTATGAAAATGTTGGACCATGTGGATACCTAGAAAAGTTCTCAGTGAACTTAGAGGGTCCACAGACCCCAGTGTGGGAACCTCAGTTCCAAACACCCTGAGGCTGTACCATCATTTATTTAACCAGTCCCTTGTTGTAGTTGCTTGTTTGCTTGCTTGTTTTCAGGCTGTTTCCAATTCTATTATAAAGACCTGGTGAATATCCTTAGAGTTACACATTTGTGGACTCCTGACTGTTAACAACATCTTTTATAATTTATTTTTAGAGAGAGGAGGGAGGGAGAAAGAGAGGGAGAGAAATATCAACGTGTCGTTGCCTTTTGTATGCCCCCAACCAGGGTCCTGGCCTGCAGCCCAGGCATGTGCCCTGACTGGAAATTGAACCACTAGCCTTGAGGTTCACAGGCCAGTGCTCAATCCACTGTGCCACACCATTCTTAGAAATGGAACTGCTGTATCAAAACCTAAAGGCTTTCACAGAGGTGGTCAAATGGCCCGCCAGAGAAGTCGGGGCAGGACAAGGCCAGCGGGCAGGGTAGGCTCCAGCAGTCCTGCATTCTCCCAGCAGGACTCTTTGCCCCACCCTGCGTGTTTCCAAGACCTCTGATGATCTGAGAGTCAAAGTGTGGGTTGTCGCCGTGTCCCTCGGTTCAGCCCAACCTTGTTTGTGGAAGGGCAGAGAGCAGGCCTCCAGTAGTTCCTAAGCTTTTGATCGACACGCCTCAAGCCCAGAGAAGTGAGTCTGTGCGAGGTTGTGTGGGGATCCCAGGAAAGAAAGCCTCTGGCAAACCTGCCCCTACCATCCTCTGCCCCCAGCAGCCAACAGATGTGCTCTTTCCGTGGGACAGATGCTTGGCCGTCGCGGCAGGTGCAGCCTTTCTTCCAGACTTGATTACTTCAGAAGTTCTTTCTCTTTGATGTCCTAGTGGCCACAACATCTGACATCTGACACTTTTCCTCATTTCAACACCACCCCCAGCCCTTCCGTCTT